AGAGTATCATCTGTATGTGTGAAACTACTAAACTAGCTAGACCGTCAGAGTATCAGTGTATGTGTGAAACTACTAAACTAGCTAGACCGTCAGAGTATCAGTGTATGTGTGAAACTACTAAACTAGCTAGACCGTCAGAGTATCACTAAACTGTATGTGTGAAACTACTAAACTAGCTAGACCGTCAGAGTATCACTGTATGTGTGAAACTACTAAACTAGCTAGACCGTCAGAGTATCACTGTATGTGTGAAACTACTAAACTAGCTAGACCGTCAGAGTATCAGTGTATGTGTGAAACTACTAAACCAGCTAGACCGTCAGAGTATCAGTGTATGTGTGAAACTACTAAACTAGCTAGACCGTCAGAGTATCACTGTATGTGTGAAACTACTAAACTAGCTAGACCGTCAGAGTATCACTGTATGTGTGAAACTACTAAACTAGCTAGACCGTCAGAGTATCAGTGTATGTGTGAAACTACTAAACTAGCTAGACCGTCAGAGTATCAGTGTATGTGTGAAACTACTAAACTAGCTAGACCGTCAGAGTATCAGTGTATGTGTGAAACTACTAAACTAGCTAGACCGTCAGAGTATCACTGTATCACTAAACTAGTAGACCGTCAGTCAGTGTATGTGTGAAAACTACTAAACTAGCTAGACCGTCAGAGTATCAGTGTATGTGTGAAACTACTAAACCAGCTAGACCGTCAGAGTATCAGTGTATGTGTGAAACTACTAAACTAGCTAGACCGTCAGAGTATCACTGTATGTGTGAAACTACTAAACTAGCTAGACCGTCAGAGTATCACTGTATGTGTGAAACTACTAAACTAGCTAGACCGTCAGGTATCACTGTATGTGTGAAACTACTAAACTAGCTAGACCGTCAGAGTATCACTGTATGTGTGAAACTACTAAACTAGCTAGACCGTCAGAGTATCACTGTATGTGTGAAACTACTAAACTAGCTAGACCGTCAGAGTATCAATCTGTATGTGTGAAACTACTAAACTAGCTAGACCGTCAGAGTATCAGTGTATGTGTGAAACTACTAAACTAGCTAGACCAGTCAGAACTATCAAACTGTATGTGTGAAACTACTAAACTAGCTAGACCGTCAGAGTATCACTGTATGTGTGAAACTACTAAACTACCTAGCTAGACCGTCCAGAGTATCAGTGTATGTGTGAAACTACTAAACTAGCTAGACCGTCAGAGTATCAGTGTATCACTGTAGACCGTGTGTATGTGTGAAACTACTAAACTAGCTAGACCGTCAGAGTATCACTGTATGTGTGAAACTACTAAACTAGCTAGACCGTCAGAGTATCAGTGTATGTGTGAAACTACTAAACTAGCTAGACCGTCAGAGTATCAGTGTATGTGTGAAACTACTAGCTAGACCGTCAGAGCTAGACCGTCAGAGTATCACTGTATGTGTGTGTGAAACTACTAAACTAGCTAGAAACTACTAAACTACCGTCAGAGTATCACTGTATGTGTGAAACTACTAAACTAGCTAGACCGTCAGAGTATCAGTGTATGTGTGAAACTACTAAACTAGCTAGACCGTCAGAGTATCAGTGTATGTGTGAAACTACTAAACTAGCTAGACCGTCAGAGTATCAGTGTATGTGTGAAACTACTAAACCAGCTAGACCGTCAGAGTATCACTGTATGTATCAAACTACTAAACTAGCTAGACCGTCAGAGTATCAGTGTATGTGTGAAACTACTAAACTAGCTAGACCGTCAGAGTATCAGTGTATGTGTGAAACTACTAAACTAGCTAGACCGTCAGAGTATCAGTGTATGTGGGAAACTACTAAACTAGCTAGACCGTCAGAGTATCACTGTATGTATGAAACTACTAAACCAGCTAGACCGTCAGAGTATCAGTGTATGTGGGAAACTACTAAACTAGCTAGACCGTCAGAGTATCACTATATGTATGAAACTACTAAACTCAGCTAGACCGTCAGAGTATCAGTGTATGTGGGAAACTACTAAACTAACTAGACCGTCAGAGTATCACTATATGTATGAAACTACTAAACTAGCTAGACCGTCAGAGTATCAGTGTATGTGGGAAACTACTAAACTACCTAGACCGTCAGAGTATCAGTGTATGTGGGAAACTACTAAACTACCTAGACCGTCAGAGTATCACTATATGTATGAAACTACTAAACTAGCTAGACCGTCAGAGTATCACTGTATGTGTTAGGCTGTGACAGACTGTTCGCCCTGTCTTCCACACAAGGCCTAGGTAGGGTGCCGATATCGACCCTCTTCTCCTCTACCTGCCGCCGCCGATGTTAGCCAGTGACGCTGATGTTATTCGATATGGCTGCCACCGCCGATGTTAACCAGGGACGCTGATGTCATCCGATACGGACGTGTCAGTGATACAGGTGTTTTTTTGTATTTAAGTGACGGTGTTAACGTTGCAGTTACTGTGTATACTTGCTTGAGTGTAACAGTAAACCCCGCGCACAGTTCGGCAGTTCAGGGCGGAGCATATGTGAGAAACATCTGCTTATTTCACAAGTCCGAGCACTTTACACCTCGAATTAATGAAACACCTTTTCTCTTCGCAATTACACTGCAGAAAAATGCATTTTATAAACGTTGTCGGTAACAATTAATGTGAAAATATCGTCGTGAGGCCAGAAATATCTCTGACTATCTGAAAATCAACGACATGGAAACAAACACTACCACATATATTGTACATGAAGAATGAGGACTATTTTCTTGGATATACAACTTCTTTATTCTATATAGGCAACGTTTCGACATAGATTCTAATGTCGTTGTCAAGCAAACGGGTTCATCTACCCAACATCTAGAATGCCAATCAAACAAGTTATATTGTACATGTCAAACACTACCAGTCATATATTATATGTCAAACACTACCACTTATATGATATATGTCAAACACTACCCCTTATATGATATATGTCAAACACTACCAGTCATATATTATATGTCAAACACTACCACTTATATGATATATGTCAAACACTACCACTTATATGATATATGTCAAACACTACCACTTATATGATATATGTCAAACACTACCCCTTATATGGTACGTCAAACACTACCCCTTACATGATATATGTCAAACACTACCACTTATATGGTATGTCAAGCACTACCCCTTATATGGTATGTCAAACACTACAATTTATCTAGTAGGTGTCAAACACTATCACGTATATAGTAGGTGTCAAACACTACCCCTTATATGGTATGTCAAGCACTACCCCTTATATGGTATGTCAAACACTACCACTTATATGATATATGTCAAACACTACCACTTATATAGTAAGTGTCAAACACTACAACTTATATAGTAAGTGTCAAACACTAACAGTCATATATTATGTGTCAAACACTACCCCTTATATGGTATGTCAAACACTACCACTTATAAAGAATCTGTCAAACACTACCACTTATATGGTTTATATCAAACACTACCTCTTATATGGTATATGTCAAACACTACCACTTATATAATACATATCAAACACTTTAACTTATATTGTACATGTCAAACACTACCACTGATATTGTATATGTCAAACACTACCACTGATATTGTATACGTCAAACACTACCTATACTAAGACATAGTCACAAGAACAAAAGTAGGTGGACTCCCTCTCAGCAAACAACTCCCTCACAGCAAACAACTCCCTCTCAGCAAACAACTCCCTCACAGCAAACAACTCCCTCTCAGCAAACAACTCCCTCACAGCAAACAACTCACTCACAGCAAACAACTCACTCACAGCAAACAACTCACTCACAGCAAACAACTCACTCACAGCAAACAGCAAACAACTCCCTCACAGCAAACAACTCCCTCACAGCAAACAACTCCCTCACAGCAAACAACTCCCTCACAGCAAAACCTCCCTCACAGCAAACAACTCCCTCACAGCAAACAACTCCCTCACAGCAAACAGCTCCCTCACAGCAAACAACTCCCTTACAGCAAACAACTCCCTTACAACTCCCTCACAGCAAACAACTCCCTCACAGCAAAAAACTCCCTCACAGCAAACATACTGATGTGTCCACATGTCTTCTGACTCGTTATAGCAATGTGTTTCCATACAAGTACACCTTCTACTAACCATATTCAAGAAATGTACAACCATCCTTTCATTTGTAGTAAAGTTCTCCTCTCACACTTCACGACTCAGTTTATCAGCTTTCACGCTGCAGACGTAAGAGCGAGATAATTAATACTGGTCAAGTTGGAGGAAGGTGGAAGGGACTTATGACTGTGTTCAAGGTGGATGAAGGTGGAAGGGACTTATGACTGTGTTCAAGGTGGATGAAGGTGGAAGGGACTTATGACTGTGTTCAAGGTGGATGAAGGTTGAAGGGACTTATGTCACTCTGTTCAAGGTGGATGAAGGTTGAAGGGACTTATGACTGAGGTCAGGATGGATGAAGGTGGAAGGGACTTATGACTGAGGTCAGTGTGGATGAAGGTGGAAAGGACTTATGACTGAGGTCAGGGTATATGTATGTGGACTGTACATATGACTGAGGTCAGGTCGGTTGAAGGTAGACATATCAGATTATTTTTAAATGTACACCAATGCACTAGTTTTAATATTCTAATGTAGACATTGTGCCTGTTCTTTTCTACATAGTGGCAGATAATAGGAATAGTCTCTTCAAGATCTGTTTTGATATGGCGCTGGATAGTAATCATCTTTAGACTGACAATACAGATCTGCCACTCGGTTAGCGTGTGCTGCCTTGTAATCCATGAAATGTGAAGCAAGGGCGTTTTGCATATGTGCATCTGTTGCCGTGATCTGCACTCGGCCACACTGGGGCGGGATCGGGCCGTGTTCCCAAAGCAGGTGTCACAACGACTGTCAGGTGTGAACATCGCCATCCATGTGAAACTCTATACAGAACAAGTGTTACATCAGAGTGTCAGCAAAAAGGTTTGGTAGTGCTAGATCCTTAACAGCTTACTTAATGACTGTTCACTCTTTCTAATTTATGAAACAGCCTTGCATTATATAATACGTCTATCCTGCGTGACACAGTGTGTCCGGCAGTAAGACTACGTCACGCTAGGTGAGTCCCGCTGCTAGGTGAGTCTATACTTATCTATATTTATTGTTGAAGTTGCGCTTTTCATAATAATGATCCTTGCTCATTTCCATAGCATGACATTCAGTAGTATATACACGGGGGGTACGAGATCAAGTCCAACAAAAGACTCTGTAAAGCTTCATTTATGAAATAAAGCTTTTGTCAGGCCCTTATCTCTCTCTGCTATTGTATATACCAGGTTTGAACCCCCAGTTAACTTCCTGGTCACTATGACCTCGAACCAACACTTTCCTGATCCTGTGACACAATAGCTCTATGTCGTGTTGACCTCGAGGAAACAGTTTAATGTGATAGGATACTATTGGGATCACTCGACAAGATAAGTGTTAAATATTTTGCTTGGGGGATAACATTGTGCCGTGATTCCTCTCTGACGGCGGCCATGGCTGCCCTACATAATGTTGATCTCAGCAAAACAGTTTAACGTGAATCTCCTATGATTTCTTTGTTTTTTGTAATGAAGGCTTGCTGGGCTTGTATCCCCTGTTCTATGTACTTTTTTCTCTCGTCTGCGCTGACGGCAGTCTTACGAGACTTGTTTCGAATCTCTCGTTTCATTTCGTGATATTTTGTGAGTTCAGAGAGGACCAAACGAAACTCTTTTTCTGAGATTTTATTGTCAGTGAGTGCGGTGGAAATATGATCGTCTATGGTGTTTAACTTTGCATCGGCTAGGATCCTGATCTCGTCGTGTTTCAATGCCTTATGATGCAGTCTGTGTGACACAAACTTAAACACCAATCCAGCCAACCCTGACACCCCAGCTGTTATTTCGATGCCTAGCACTTGGGTGCGGCCACGATGGTGGTCAACAACCCGACACCTACCGCCCCTAGTCCCATCCTGGTTGCCATAAGGGTGGTATCAACCCCGTCCACGGCATTGAAAGCCCTATGGTACTTCTTGTACAATGCTGCCCGTCTGTCACGGTCTTGTTCTAGTTGGTGTTTTATGTCGCATAACTGTCTCAAGCGGAACTTGTCTACGGTTTTCAGTGTCTTCGCGACCTCCTCTACGACTGGGTACAGACCCATCCTTAGTGCATATAATATATCTTATGAGATATTTTCTAATTTGGCTTTATTTAATAGTTGATCAATGTACTTGAGGCTTATAAGGCTTAGATTCTCGTATAGGAAGATACGGAAAGGTCAATAGGTAACTTCTGATCTATACTAACCCACGGGAGTTCTATTGAGGGGTGCAGTAATCTCAGTGGGAGGTCCCCCAATTGTATGACGATACGGCAACGCATGGGGCTTCGCATCACGGTGTCCTTCCAATGTTCTGTCACCTCAGGTGAAAGTTGCAAGACTGAACCCTTAATAGCGCCCCCAAGAGCGACTTCTATGATGAGTGTGGAGCCTAGTGCCATAGTCATAAGACCTGATAGGGCATCGGGTGAGTCGGCCCTTAACTCTGACTCCACGGATGAAACTAACATGTTGCCCGGGTGACCTGGTATTTGGGAAACTGTCACCCTTTCATAACTCGGAATGAAAGACGGGAGGACGAAGCCGTTGTTCCTAATTTCGGTGACATGTCTACGTTCGTTTAAAGAGATGTAAGGTGCTGTGAGGGTCACGTTGATCAACCATTCGGGTTCCTTTAAGTCTGCCAGAGACATCGGCCTATACACGTTGCCTTCAAAGTGCAGGGCGTACATGGTGCGGCCCACGGGGGGCCAATCAAACCCCTCTGTGTCTCCTAGGTCGCTAAGCGTGACGTTGGGGTGATGACGATTGGACATTGCTATAATACTATTACAAGATAGTTTCCAATTGTCTTTCTGATAGTAGTTCAGGGGTGCACCTCACCCCCATGGGGTGTATGTCGTCGGGTAGGAAGATCTTAGTGAGGGATATCGTGTCTTCCGCGGTCATGGTGACCCCCTACAGACTTTTTTTTGGAGTCGACACCCACCCGCACGTAAACAGTGCAAACCTGATACTGGTGTCGTTTGGGCCACCAGAGTTTGGTTCCCTTCACGACTTCGACTTCGTCCTGTGATGGTTCCCCTAGACAGACTTGAATGGCCAGCGTGGAATTTGCTGGTAGACCTTCCAGGATTTTGACAACACCGCCAAATTCAGACGCCAACTGCAATGTCACGTCTTGCACCCCCGGTTTACTCGATAGCATGTGGGCTGCCATACTTGAGAGTGGGCTGATGATTACACTATGCTTCCACGTTGGGACGTAAGCCACGAGCAGGGTTCTGTTGTTCACGACTTTGTTTAGGTAGTTGTCTTCGTTCTCCGTGAACACATTGGGGGAGCCGAGACTAATGTTGAGAAACCAGTCGACTTGAGCGGGTAACAACACCCACTTGTCGGCGTCGGTGAAGACGAGGGTATACTGCTTGTTTCTAACAACGGCCGTTCTCCCAACATCTTCTAAGTCGAACAGTTTGCCTACGAACGATGGGTATACTGCCAATCTATCATCACCGATGCGGACTAGATCGAACCGAGTGTTGAGGGCCGCTCCTGAGGTATCTATTATATCACCTAAGGTTCTACCGATGGAGGGGACTTCAACGCGTTTGTAAATGTTATTTTAAAGCTGCAACTACTCCGGGGTCCTTGAATCCGCGTATGTCCCCAAAGTCGGAGATCCCCACATTAACACATTGTTTCAACTTCATTCGGGGACCTTGTGCGCTAGTCATTTTATGTGCAGTGTTATGATGATGAGGTATCCTATATTCACAGGATTATGATTTATATCTAAAACCGATATTACCAACTCAGGGATGGTGCCCCGAGTTAACCTCTTGTACTGCTGCAGTGAAAACGACTCAGTTCTGCCGTCGTTGTACTTCTCCGTTTTCACCGGTACGGCTCTCAGTATTGTGGAAGGGTGGCCACCTTGACTGTTGTCCGTTGCGCTCAGCTGACCGAGATGAATGCAAAGCTCTCGGTACGGTACTAGGTCGGGTTAGTTGTGGGTTTTATCTCGTCTGGCGACATCCCGAGTGTCCTCGAGAATGTTCGGCCGAGCATCAAGGGGTTTATTCCGTTGTTGGTTAACACCACTGTGCCGTTTGAGTCATTCATCTTGAGTTCGTCTCCCAAGGGTTTGAAGACCTCATCACCTAGCGAGCACACACTGTAGAAGCTGTCGATTATCTGGTTGCGGGCGCCACTGATGAACAGCTTATTGTTGCTGGCGTTGATGTTGGTCCATCTCGTTATTCCTGGAAGTGTTACGTACATGCTAGAGTATATATACCCATTATATAATACTTTAAAAATGTACAAACCGGGAGAGTTTTACCCTAAACTGGACATAGATTTCCCGCACATGAACATTGTGGTCACGGCTGGGTTGTATTTCGGAGCCCAGTTCATAGATGTGTTCAACCGGTATAAGCTTTCGGTGACTAACGTCAAGGCAGTCCACACCTGGTTCAAAACCCCTATGCAGTTCTGGCAGAATCAACTCAACTTCACCGTCTGGTGTGCGACGACTGGGTGTGGCTTGACATTGACTGACAATTGGCGGGGACCGCTGAGTCAGTCAGTGTTCACGTTTCAAATGTACTACCAGATCAGGGGTATCCTCTAAGCGATCAGCGCTCCGCTCCCACAGGACAAAGCATGGGACGCAGTCAAGAACCCGCACGATAGATGGGCCTACGAACGCGTTTGCAATGAATTCGAACTAGACCCGAAGACGGATTGGCGTTTGTCGGGCCCGAACAATTGGTTGGGTATCCCCATCGTTCACAACATGCCCCTCGTGGAAGCCAGCAAAAAGATGAAAGAATGGGGGTACAAGTCGTATCAACACATCACAACAAACGAGTGGGATGACCGTTACATGGCTTTTGACAACAGCAAGGATAACAGGGAGTCTGGAGGTTCGAGCAGCCAGCCGCAGATGACTGGAAAAAGTTCATGCTGGACACGTAGAGAGGGTTCACTCGTGCCGGTGTAACCAGATTGAACGACTCGATTCGAACGTATGTGTGGGCGCTGTTTGGTGCGCAGATGCAAACGCTTTCCAAAGGGGACTGCTTACGACGCTCAGAAACAGTTCGTTGTTAACATCGAGGATGCTATCAATGCTCCAGTTGATCTACTGAGTGCAATCCGAAACTACCAAGACGTGTTGGAATACGCCTGGTCGAAAGTCGACTACGTGTTCGATATGCAACTGAGAGTGAAAAAAATGGTGGGTTACAACAACGAAATAGTCATAGCCATGGCCAACCAGAGGTTGGGTGTCAATGCAGGCATCAACGTGAGTCACGTCCCACCTCCCGAAGCTGGTCCCGGTTCGAGGATGCGGATTCCAATCGATTCCGCCTCTCGTCTTATAAGTAACATAACCATTTTTCGATGATGGGTTTCAGAGACTCGTCAGCCTGACTGAGTTTTATTTTCTCGCGAGCGATGTGCTCATCAATTTCGTTCAGTTTCCCCATATTGTTCACGAGTTCTCCACGAATGGTTCGCAATGCCTTGTCTAGCCCTCGCAGTTCTCATACAGGAAATTCGAAACCCGGCAAGGGTTTGTCACTGTACATGGCCAATATTTTTTCGAGACTGTCTGATGATTCTTTAGCACGTTGGGGCATATCACTTTCACCGCCGAGTTTGGCCCTGGCTGCTTGCAGATCTTGGACGACCTTCGGGGGAAAGCTTAGGTCGTGTGCCACTGTAATCTCTGAAGCCTAGTTCATCACGGATCAGTTGCCTCCCACCAGGGCAATTGCCTAGCGTAGACAAGGCAAGCGGTTTTCTTGTGTGTTTGTTCATGAGATCGATCCCGGATGAGCTTTCAATCGCAGCGTTCCCTTCTTGTCGATGGTAAACTTGGAAAAGTCTCGTCCCCACGGATTGACGTAGTTTCTATCTGACTTCAACGCGTCGTAGTAGTCGTTGACGGTCGATTTTAAAAGTTCGTTGCTAACGGTGCTGCCCATGAATGAGGTGTCTCCCCATCATCGAGCCCACCAGCACCCATATCATCCATCGAGATGTCCTCATGACTGCCTTCAGCCATTAATTATATTAAACTTTTATATTTTATGTATATAACAATGTACGGTAGGAAACTAGATCCTTTCCGAAGATCAAGAGAGCCTCTAGGCGTCAGAGCCGTGTGCCTGTCGTGACCA